TACCACTACAAGAATTGTGAGTAGCATGCTTGTGAACTGTGACAGGAACATTATCAATGGAAGTAAGATGGGAAATAGCATGAGCTTGCTCTGCATTCTAAGCTGTAACAATGAGCGCACCACTTCGAAGAGCGTGAAAAGATATATTTTGGCCAATGTGTTGTAAAAGAGCTTTACCAATACTATGGTCTGAAAGGTAATCAGTTGGAGATGTCGGCTGTATGTAAAAGAATTTGGTCCGCTGTGTACTTGTGAACGTGGTGCATAAAGGAAGTGGGTGTCATGTAGATCGTTTCTGGGTGGAATGAACAGACATTGAAGAACCGTCGTCAGCAAATAGTCTGGAACGTTTAGGTGTAGGACTGTAGGTGGCCTGACCTAAGGCAGGTGGGCAATCCAAAAATTGTCGCACTGTATTCGGGGAAGCTGGATGCATAGTTAAAGGCGTGCAAGAGGCAGAGGCACTAAAAGAAATAGGTGGAGCTTCAGCACCTGGAGCAGGTGATGAAATGTCACCAGCAGAAGGTACAGGGGTATGGGAAAAGTCTGGAGAATGGTCCAATAAGCCAGGTCAAAACAGGATGCAGTAACAAAAAGAGGCCTGGGAGGAGGAGGAGGGGGGTCACGGAGAGAAGACTCCATGACGGTGGCACTTTCTTATTTTAAGAAAAAAGAAAAAAATAGAAGGAAAGAAGAAAAAAAAGACAGTTACTAGAAGGCATGGAAGGGCCACAAGTTCTTCCCTTCATCCAAGAGGACTATGAAACCACCAGCAGCGCAGATGCAGCGTGGAACCTGTGCCATACCCTACCCTTCACACCAGTAAACCAGTGCTCGGGGATAGCAATCTCACATCCACTGAGCCACTTTGGCGGACAAAAAGAGAGGATAGTCGGACACTTCCCTCGGCTCCCACCTCCCAAAACTGACAGGCAGCCTTCAGAGATGCACCCATCATCTGCAGGACACCCTGCCCTACCTCCTGGAAATCCAGGAAGGAAGCAGGGCACCTCCAGATGATCCAGATTCCACAGCAAACTACACTACTCCTGAGGGACCACACAGAGTGGGATGAACCTCAGCACACTTCCCCCTACTTAGAAAGCATAATGCCAGAGGGTAGGACCCCAGAGGCTACAAACAGGACAGAGGAAAGGGAAAAGAGGGAGGGATTGAGAGGATGGGACAAGTTCGGTCTGAGGAAGGAGACCAAAAGGTCTAATTCCTCAGACCAGGAGCCTCTTCACTGTGCCAAGGAGCCCCCCTTGAAGAGGCTTTTGAATAGCATTATGTTTATGTGAAGAGTATCCCCCCCCCCCCCCCCCGTATTTAAATGCTCGTCTTGAACTGACTCCCAACAATGTTAATGTTTACAGGACACAAAATGTTATTGCATATGCCCCACTTTAGTAAGAAATTAATGTATAGAAATTATCTATTCTGGTGGATATATAGCAAGTCCCAAGTCTTGCTGAATTCCTGTTGCTTAAGCATTAGTATTTCTTTTCCTGCTGGCTGTTGAGTGAGAGAAATGCAGATCAGCACCATACGATATTTGTGGCACAAAATCAGAAAACCAAATGAAGTGTTTCTTCTTGATTCTGGTAGGCTTATTAATTAGGCTATGGTATGGCCATGAAGGCTCTATGGAAGAAAATAAATTTTGAAGTATTAGAAATTATTTTCTTCCACAATGATAACATCTTGGCCATACTAAGGTAATACCTTCTACCCTCACCACTTACAAACTTTTTCTTCACTTGCACTGATCAGGAATGCTGATGGTTCTTGGTCAGTGATGTAGGTGGTAATGAATGACATGGCATGGCATGCAAACATACACATTACCTTCACAACTTGCTGTATTCTTGGTGAGAGTTAAAGTTTCAAAATTGTAGCATACAACCATTACAAGTCCAGCTGAGCTAGTCCTCAGGAACACAGACCACAATATGGCCAGGAGGGCATCATTGTGAATAAAAACAATTCCTTATACTTCATAGCTTTCTGGGTGTAAGAATAGTTAATACGTATTTCAAACATATTGCATATGTTGAAAATTACACAATATCAGAGCTCAGGTCTGTCATAGTAAAATTTGTTAAGATGAATATAATTCCTAAAACTTATTCTATCCATTAATATAAACATAGCAAAAGCATTTTTTGTATCCAATGTATTGCTCTTTACTAGCAATCAGGAGATCACACACTGGTTACATCTTGTTTCCACAGCTTCATAAACACAGTCATACTGGCCTAAGTATCACAAAAACACGCACAAACACAAATATATGCACCCTTAATTTTTCTTTCTAATGAACTACAGAAGAATTAATCAAATCACTGAATTAATCAAATTACATGTATTGTGGCTTCAGAAATATACTTAGTAACAATTTTTCTCTTCTAAAAGTCAAATGTACATATACTAAAAATGCTACAAAGAAGAAAAATGGTAAAGAATAATATGTACCCCTTAATGCTTCCCTTGAACGCACCTCCGAGAAACAGCAATATCGTAGAAGAGAGCATGGTACTGGTGCTGCGGCCGCCTTATGACCTTTTGTGGTTTCTTGCGACCAAGCTTCTTCATGGCAGTGTAGTAGTTCTTCTGAGAGTCCGTTAGAAACATCTCCAGCACTCCACCCTCATACTGCATTAGTCAGGGAAGGTCACATAATATAATAATAATAATAATTAATAATAATAATAATAATAATAATGAAAATAATAACTCAGAGAAATTATAATATAAAATATAAAAATTCAGCCCATCCTCATGGTATACATCCTAAAAGCAACATAATATCCCAGTATGTTAGAAAATAAACTTACTATCCTTAACACGTACAAATGTGCATATGCCTTTTTACCATATCTGAGAAAACTGGCAGCCAAAAAAAGTGCATGTGGTATTTGAACGTATTAACTGGAATAAATAGGTCCAGAAACAAACGTGCTGGGAAATTACGTCAATATTTGATGTTCAAGATGAAGACTGGATGAATAATTACACTGTTAATGTACTAACAATACTAATACTACCAAATAATAATATAAATACTAATACTCAACTAATAAAAATAAGAGCGCATATACATTATTCAGACTAATTTGTGCTCAGGGTTCAAATTATAGAAAATTCCTAATTAAAATCAATTTTTTTTAAATAAATTTATGAATTACAGTATTAAGAAATTATAAGTTTCCACTTTGCAACATTCAGAATTCCCGAGAACTGTCTGAATTAAAATTTAAGAAAATATTCTCATTTGGAAAAAATAAAAAAAAATTTAAAACTAAATTGTTTTGCTAATATTAATGTAATTTCCAATTAAAATACTATTTGCAAAATATTTTCTTCAAAAAATTCCCAAAGTATTTTCTTAATAAAAGACAAATATTCACCACGGTTCTCAGTTTTCCAAATTTCTGAGATAATTATGAATCTCAAATTTCATTTCTGAATTTTAAGAAGTCTAGAACACAGAATGAGAATTCTGAATATAAAATTTATGTAATATTAATGACAAATATAAATACTGTACAGTCTATCACCAGTAAAAAAAAAAAAGCGATCTGTGATAAAATAAATTGCCGATTTGTCATAAGAGTTGTCCAACAGTTTCTGATTTGAAAAATTGTGCCTTATGAAAAACGATTAGGGCCAGTGTTTGTATCAGCAGTCTATTTTTCTAAGTTTAGCCAATCAAAGAAAAAAAAAGTATGCTCAAAGTTTTACCTTGCATGACATACTCGTGTACTAAACTATATTGTGGTGCATGACGTTTGTAGCCTTGCCTAATTCTTGCAATGTGAAATGAAAATAACCCAACTTCACATATACAGTTTTGAACCTCACTACATGACACTACAATATATTCACCCAATAGTGGTCAAAATAATGCATGCCATGGCTTTATGAGGAAATATTTTGTGTCAAGTGCCAATGGTACATGGATTTTAATAAGTGGTAGGCACTGGTTTAATCTTAATGTATCCAATTCGTAAGTTAAATGAAAAAACTCAGTTTCATATACAGTATATTGCACTACACTGAATGTACCTACATGAATTTTTTTTTTTCAAGAAAACCAGCTGTATCCCACCTAGGCAGGGTGGCCCAAAAAGAAAAATAAAAGCTTCTCTTTTTAAATTTAGTAATTTATACAGGAGAAGGGGTTACTAGCCCCTTGCTTCCGGCATTTTAGTCGCCTCTTACAACACGCATGGCTTACGGAGGAAGAATTCTGTTCCACTTCCCCATGGAGATAAGAGGAAATAAACAAGAATAAGAACTAGAAAGAAAATAGCAGAAAACCCAGAGGGGTGTGTATATATATGCTTCTACATGTATGTGAAGTGTGACCTAAGTGTAAGTAGAAGTAGCAAGACGTACCTGAAATCTTGCATGTTTATGAGACAGACAAAAGACACCAGTAATCCTACCATCATGTAAAACAATTACAGGTTTTCATTTTCCACTCACTTGGCAGGATGGTAGTACCTCCCTGAGTGGTTGCTGTCTACCAACCTACTACCTATAACTACATGAAATATTCTCCAAATACTGATCAGAAGATGTACGCCAATTTTTGGGGTAAATTTTTGTTATGAGAACACACTGAGCAACAAGTTGTGTCAAGTGTGTGTGTAAACTCTTATATAACTTGTGCAATAAAACTTTTCAAGAACATTTAGCACCTGTATATGTATGAACTGTCCTGGTACCAGGTCCAGATACCAGGTGAAAAAAATCCCAGCAACATACAATCCTGCATGCCTTCAATTTCAAAAAATACTATGCAAGGCAAACAACTGTACAAGTTAAGAAGCGAGATGGATTTTGAACATTTTTTGTAAATCTAATACAAGTATTGCTCCTGGCCTCCCACCAAGATAATTAATACTTTTTTCTTAAAATGTTTACAAAATAATGTTAAATTATGTTAATGCCTACCTCGGTGGGAGATGGCCGGTGTTATTATTTATTAACATACTGCAATTCTTTTCAGTAAAAAATAAAGTGGTGTGTTCACACTATCAACAAATTTTAAGCATACATATTCATGAAATCTAGGTAGTAGGTTAGTAGACAGCAACCGCCTAGGGAGGTACTACCGTCCTGCCAAGTGAGTGTAAAACGAAAGCCTGTGATTGTTTTACATAATGGTAGGATTGCTGGTGTCCTTTTTTTCTGTCTCATGAACATGCAAGATTTCAGGTATGTCTTGCTACTTCTACTTACACTTAGGTCACGCTACACGTAAATGTACAAGCACATATATACACACCCCTCTGGGTTTTCTATTTTCTTTCTAGTTCTTATTCTTGTTTATTTCCTCTTATCTCCATGAGGAAGTGGAACAGAATTCTTCCTCCATAAGCCATGCGTGTTGTAAGAGGCGACTAAAATGCCAGGAGCAAGGGGCTAGTAACCTTCTCCTGTATATATTACTAAATGTAAAAGGAAAAACTTTCGTTTTTCCTTTTGGGCCACCCCGCCTCTGTGAGATACAGCTGGTGTGTTGAAAGAAAGAAAGAAGGTTTGGTAGACAGCAACCGCCCAGGGAGGTACTACCAACCTGCCAAGCGAGTGTAAAACGAAAGCCTGCAATTGTTTTACGTGATGGTAGGATCGCTGGTGTCCATTTTTCTGTCTAATAAACATGCAAGGTTTCAGGTACATCTTACTACTTCTACTTACACTTATATCACACAACACATACTTTTTTTTTTTTTTTTTCAACAAGTCAGCCGTCTCCCACCGAGGCAGGGAGACCCAAAGAGAAAGAAAATACTTTCATCATCATTCAACACTTTCACCTCACTCACTCACACATAATGACTGTTTCTGCAGAGGTGCCCAGAATACAGCAGTTTAGAAGTATATATGTATAAAAATACACAGTATATCTCTCTAAACTGCCAATATCTAAAACCCCTCCTTTAGAGTGCAGGCATTGTACTTCCCATTTCCAGGACTCAAGTCCGGTTATATAAAATAACCAGTTTCCCTGAATCCCTTCACTAAACATTACCCTGCTCACACTCCAACAGATCGTAAGGTCCCAAATACCATTTGTCTCATTCACTCCTATCTAACACGCTCACGCACGCTTGCTGGAAGTCCAAACCCCTCGCCCACAACACCTCCTTTACCCCCTCCCTCCAACCTTTTCGAGGACGACCCCTACCCCGCCTTCCTTCCCCTACAGATTTATATGCTCTCCATGTCATTCTACTTTGATCCATTCTCTCTAAATGACCAAACCACCTCAACAAACCCTCTTTAGCCCTCTGACTAATGCTTTTATTAACTCCACACCTTCTCCTAATTTCCACACTCCAAATTTTCTGCATAATATTTACACCACACATTGCCCTTAGACAGGACATCTCCACTGCCTCCAACCGCCTCCTTGCTGCAGCATTTACAACCCAAGCTTCACACCCATATAAGATTGTTGGTACTACTATACTTTTATACATTTCCTTCTTTTCCTCCATAGATAAAATTTTTTGCCTCCACATGTACATACATATACATACATGTACAAGCATATATATACACACCCCTCTGGATTTTCTTCTATTTTCTTAATAGTTCTTATTCTTGTTTAATTCCTCTTACCTCCATGGGGAAGTGGAACAGAATTCTTCCTCCGTAAGCTGTGTGTGTTGTAAGAGGCGACTAAAATGCCAGGAGCAAGGGGCTAGTGACCCCTTCTCCTGTATATATTACTAAGTGTAAAAGGAGAAACTTTCATTTTTCCTTTTGGGCCACCCTGCCTCGGTGGGATGCGGCCAGTGTGTTGAAAGAAAGAAAGATATTCATGATAGTTAATTCTGTGAGCCATAACAATATACAACAGGTACTTGATTATCTATACATGAAGCAGAACCTAGGTTAATTCAAGATTTGTTGAATTCTTGGCTTTTAGAGATGAGAGTTAATTTTTGGGAGGGCTAGATCAATACAACACATTCTTAACTATCTTTCTACCATACATTAGTACATCTGCTTAAAAAAAGTGTGTGTTAGCCACTCCATCATTAGTATATACACACTGTCTCCCAAATTTGTTTATTTGTTCTTAGTACTTTCTTTAGCAAATGGAGTCATCTTGATATAGGGTTGTTTGGTGTTGGTGTAGGTGTTGTGAATAATATATTTTTTTTGGGGGGGGGTTTTTTTTTGGGGTAAAAAAAAATTTTTGGGAGGGAAAAAATTTGGGGGAAAGGGGGGGGGGGGGAAAAAAAGGGGGGGGGAAAAGGGGTTGGAATTTTTGGGGGGAAAAAAAAAAAGGGGGGGGGAAGGGGGGGGGGTATTTTTTTAAAAAAAAAAAAAAAAAAGGGGGGGGGAAAAAGGGGAAAAAATTTTTTTAAAAAAAAAAAAGGGGAAAAGGGAAATTTAAAAATTTAGGGGAAAAAAAGGGGTTTAAAAAAAGGGGGTTTTGGGGTTTTTTAAAAAAAAAAAAATTTTTTTTTTAAAGGGGGGGAAAAAAAAAATTTTTAAAGGGGGGGTTTTTTTTTTTTAAAAAGGGTTTTTTAAAAAAATTTTAAAAATTTTGGGAATTTTTTTGGTTTTTTTTTAAAAAAAAAAATTTTTAAAAGGGAAGGGAAAATTTTTAAGGGGGGAAGGGGGGGGGA